AATTGAAATGGTAATTTACAATTCCTGTCCTAGCTCAGAGTGTCCTCCCTGACATGGATTATCTGGTCACCCTAGTATTGGACTCCCTACAACACCCCGTGTCATCCTGCACTGTCTCTCAACGACTGGCATCAGTGAGACTATGGGTTCACTGTCCCATGCTTAGGCTGCCGTTAACACCAGTGCAGAGATGGCTGCGTTTGGAATGGTGCCATAACTGGGAGGCATGGACTGATGACGAGTGGCGCCGTGCCATGTTCAGTGATGAATCTGGGTTCTGCATTACCACGGATGACTGTCGTGTTCATGTATGGTAGCACCAATGGGAGAGGATCAATTCTGCCAATGTTGTGGAGAGACACACCGGCATTACTCCTGGCATCCTGGTGTGGGTGTATGACTTCAGGTCATCTCTGGTAGTGATTCGGGGGACCCTGACGGCACAGCGCTACATCAGTGACATCCTGCGTCCACATGTCTCACCCCTCCTAAGACAGCACCCTGGTACGGTCTTTCAAGAAGACAACGCCCGTCCACACACGGCACATGTATCTATGGACATGGGCCCTGCAGTGTGCATAGGTAAGTAGGTCCTTTGGACTGAGGAGGGAATAATTGGGGCTACATCCACCAGTTCCCTCCTCTTCACTGGTGGGTATATCCTTTTACTGGACAGGTGGCAATGTAATGCATTGGTGGACCTCTGCCATTGTCATTCTGCTGAAGACAAATGGGTTAGGTCCACCTACATCGGTTCAGCCTGGGGCATTGAGGGGTTAATCATGTCCACTTTGGCAGAACCCTGAAGTTCGAACCATTTATGACGCTCTTTATGGCTCTGCCGGATCTGGGTATCCACCTAGATAGTCAGGTGCACCAACTCTTCAAACGAGCATGGACAGCTCATCCTTAATTTACTCAACCAGCCCGTTGTAAAATGCATCGTACTGTGCCTGTCGATCCCTACAGGTACAAAGCGCCAGCATCTGAAATGCAATAGGGAAATCAGACACGGACAGGCTGCTCTGATGAAGCTGGAGGAACTTGTGTGCTGCCTCTCTGCCATGCCTGGACTGGCCAAAAACCCACTTCATCTCCTCAGGGAAACTGGGGAGATTGGCAGAAAAAGATGCCCCATCCTCCCAGTGGGCTGTCATCCACTGCTGGGCAGGACCAGTCAGCAAGGTGATGATATACACGACCTGGGAATGACTTGAGTGACACAGGTTGTTATTTTTCCGCTCAAATACAATTTTTAAAAAAGAGGATTTGATGCCACCCTGTGTCATCAAGACTGAAAACAAGTGAAGAAGAATACAAACACAAGAACATCTTCACCTCACAGCATATTATGCATGATTTAAATTCAAGATTTTTATAATATTCCTTCTCCTTTTTGAAGATTTTGAGTACATTGATTTTGTGTGCATTTATCAATAAATATTTATAAAAAAAAAACTTTATTCATGCTAAATGTAAATGGTCTTGGATTTTAAAGCTGACTGCCATTTTTTAAATCTGAAATGCGGAAAGATGAAGAATACATCTAAAAAGGTTATTCATTTCTATAACTGGCTTACTAAGCTATTATATACACTCACCTAAAGGATTATTAGGAACACCATACTAATACGGTGTTTGACCCCCTTTCGCCTTCAGAACTGCCTTAATTCTAC